TAGGCCGCAACAGATACTTGGGTAAGAAATCCACATTTTAGTAGCACCGTCATGCAGAGTTAACATCATTAATTAATTAATTTATGTTTCTATTAATTTACCTGTATGAAATGAATGCCACAAGCCAGCGCAAACTTGAGAAAAATAGGTTTATGTACTGCAACAAGACTGACATGTCATAACATGATTGAACTGCAGTATGCAGTTGATAAATATCAATAGCAGGTCTCATATCAACAGTTGGAATAAAACCTTTCATAACAAAAGCATGATCCTGACTCTAATGAGATGTAAGTCATTTAAATTATGTAATACTTAAAATATGTTCCAGTAAATAAGCTGCAGAGCGAACGCAATGATGCACAGCTGCCACATCTGTACTGCTGTTGCAACATTGTCTTCTCTTGTCAAGCGAGCTACTACTGATTATTCTCTCTGTTTGTGTGTATGTTTAGCATTTATAAATCTTTAAGACTATTGCAAACATCAAATCAACTGACCATTATGATTATCATGTTCTTCAATTGCTATGTGTTCATTTTTATGATGAAGAGCTCTTTGTGTGTATACTTGTGACATTACAGAATGAAGGTGACATCTGTACGTTTGGGACAGTTGAAGATTAAAAAAGTATTGTTGAATGCTTAACACAATGGAGAATGTTTTTTCTCTTGAAATGTTTAAAAACCAAAGTTACAAAAAATCACAAAAAAAAATTGTTGAGTTTTTTTATTGTTGCATGATGATAATTATTTTTAATTTATAATTAAGTCAGTTCTAAGTCAAATCATGGAATGCTATATTATAATGAATATATAAATGGAAATAAACTGAAATAAGTAAAACCTGCTGTATGCCTCATTCTGTAATTCTGTCCCTGCACTGCAAAATCACATCTCATCACCTGAAGACTATATGGTGTGTGTCAGGCATGGGAAATTTTCTCTCCACCACCATGTCCAGACTGCCTGCAGGCACACAGACTTTTCTCGAGTGAATATTAAGGGCAAAGTGGCTATGATCACTTCATTTCTAGCATTAAACATATTTTTTTTAAAAAAGATATAGTTAGGGCAGAATTGTGCTAAAGATACCTCAGTTTATAAAATGCAGACCAGTTGGTTTTTATGCCAAGAAGTTCTTGTAATGCCCCAGTGGAGGCTACATCTGCAGTATGCAATCCTTCATTAACCCTGAATCTTTATAACAAATTTAAAACATCCCCATTCAAGTTTTGAAGTTTCACTGCAACGGAATCATGCTTAATGATCAGCCAATGATCCATAAACAGAACCATTTTTTTGTTGCTTAGTAACAAAAGCATGGTAATAGCTACCATGGATCAGGGCTCAGCAAACATCTCATTACTGTGAGATAGATTGGTTATCCATATCTTTATTGAGAATTAATAATGTTGTGCACTGTGAGAAAAACTTATTTTTTTAGCTTGAAAATAAGTTTCTATAAAGATGATGTTTCTTAGCTTTCAATCAGTTTTAATTTCAAGTAGTGCTTTATCCTGTCACAGACCAGGATCCTTACTAGATGTAAACAAAAGCACGTGCTTGACGGCCACTCTTAAGCCCTGTCTACACGTAACGTCTTATCGTACGTTTTGTTTGATCAGTTAAGACGTATCAGTAAAAATGTTACGTATGGACAGAGAAACGGACGTCTCTCAGAAAACGGATCTGTTAGAGCATTGTTTTCCGGTAAAACGTCAGTCTTTGTAGCTTCTACCTGTCGCTAGAAATCTTAGAGTAGCAGTCAGTCTCTCATGGGGTGTGATAGCCCTTCTCATGGTAGTGTCCTTTTTTTTGTATTTCTGGAATTACTAACGATAGTAATTTCAAATAAGTGTCCGTATCCATTCTTAAATAATTACGCCAATCTTCAGGTTCATGACGTAATTCCCGAAGCAAATTCACATGAGAGAATCTGCCCCTTTTTAGCGACCATTTTCTAGACCACCGTGAGCGACGAACAACTTTCTTTCTTTTCAATTTCACGAGAGACAATGAAATAATCGATACAAGTAATACTTCATCCATGGTATCTATGAAACTGAGCAGAAAACGGTAGCTAAAACGTAAATAGTGTGGACATGGGATTTTGGTCAGTTTTATCTGACCATCTTAACTGATGAAACAAAACGTACGATAAGACGTTACGTGTAGCCCGGGCTTTATACATACAACCTCTCATACGTCAGTCTGTGCACGTAGTGAGGTTACCTTAACTTTAGCAGGTGAAAGATTTATCGCGGGAAAAGCAACTGAAACCCTGAGCGGAAGGATGCGAAATATGTCTGTTAGATGAGGCTTCAACTTTAATTTAGTAGTCAAAACGACAGATTCTGAACTATTAGTGAGGAAAAAGTATTCTGTGATTCGCCTTATGTTGTAATCCGTGCACAGAACTTAGTAGTTCGGAGAAAATTCGATCAGATTACTGCAGATTTCATGTTTGTTTCGGCGTCCCACCGTGATTGCGAACACATATAAAAATGAGTGAAGTGGATAAAGGTATAGAACTGAATCATTCCCCAGTGTTGTTCTTGGATGAAAGGAATAATCCGTTGACATTTATTATAAAACCGTGTGCAGATAAAGAAGCAATAAGAGAAATGATTGAGGTTAGTTTGATGTTTGTTCATTCCTGTTCGGTGATTGTGGTTTGAGCCACAACAGTTATATTGTTTTAATTGTGTGAATGGTGTATTTTAAAATTATTTCAGTTTGGTGGTGGTGAAGTTGTTTCAATTCCTGGCGACTATGGTATTACATTGATCCCAGAAGATGTTGCTCTTATTGGTAATGATGAAGTCTTTTCAATTCAGTATATCAAAGAATGTTGTACCAGGAACAAACTTCTGAACTTGAATTCATACAGGTAAGAATTTTATGACAAAGTTGCTTCTGTGTTTTGGTGCCATGCACATATTTTTAATTCCTGAAATTGACAAAGGAGGTTATAGTAGCAACTCTTTATCATTTACCCAACCTTACAACTTGACACCGTTGTGTTCTGACACATGTGGCCAAACTAAGAAGGAAGTAGTGTGCAAGGAACATTCGCAGAATTTTCGGAAGGTAGGAAATGTCAGCGAATTTTGACCATTTGACATGACTGATAGCCGGAGAGGGTAGCCCCCTTCTGACACATTCTAGACTTCCCATTGGCCCTGAACCTTTTCCTTCTCATTCCTCATCCCTGATGGGTCGATATTTCACTTAAGTTGTTTTTCCTTTACCAAAGTAGCGGATTCTTAAATGATTACAGTTACAAGAGAACATTGTTTCTGCGAGATTAAGACTTATAGTCTTCAATAATTCTTTAGCTGAATCACAGTGTTCGTTGTAGCTGATATATAAAGTATATTTATGTATCAACATGTGTTCCTACTATGTATATATGATGTACACATATAACATATAATAATGATCACATTGCTTCTGAACCAAAGATTATACTTATATTACTTTTTTTACAACCTCTGTCATGTACAAAATCTTCATTGTTGGTGACTCCACAATTTGAAGAGATCACAGTTTGTGTTTTTAGTAAAGTACATGGATTGTTATACCTAAGCTTATGTAAGTTTTTATGATAATTGTCCTATCCATGACATTGGTAATACAAAAACTGTGCTTAGTAATTCCATGTGGAAGTTGAAAGTTGTTTGTAATTTTTGCTGTTTGTTTCAGACTGAATACAGAGTCTAGGTATTCAGATGGTTTTGAGGTTATGGATGTTTTGCTTAAATATACATCTTGGTCTGATGCTCTGAAAGGCATCCCATAGTAAGTAAATTATAATTATTTTTAATTTATAACATTTGTAGTTGATGTATCTGGTGCAGGAATAGCATGTGGACTGAGGTCTTAGGTTTTCTGTCTTCAGGGTAGAAGTGATCATTTGGTTTGTGACATGGTGTAGTCTTGTGGAAACATGTTGCCTCCATCTTTTGTACAGATACCCATAAAAATGGAGGCAGTATGGTCCTCCAAACCACTGGTAACCACCTACAATAGTACAGTGTCACAATCTGGCAGACCACAATCAGAATTGGCGGTGGTCAGTTTTGAGCCAATTCACATCATCACAACATATTTAGATTTTGTTGGGATGAGTTAGGTTAGATCAGGTTAGGACATGTTAGTTTAGGTTGAATAAGGTCTGTTTAGATTAAGGCAAGGCTTTTGGATTAGTTTAGGTTATGTTATGTTTGGTTAGATGTGGTTTGTTTTATTTTGGTTAAGGAATTTCAGGCTAGGATAGGTGTTCAAATATGAATTTTAAATGTTGGAATTTCAAATATGGGAACTGTGAAATTTTTCATTCTGGAATTTGAAATTTTGAAAATTTTAAAGTTGTGGGTGTTCACAAATTTTCAAAATTTCGAAGATCTGGATTCATGAAAAATTGAAAATTTTAAAATTGTGAGAGTCATAGAATGAGGTTGGATTGTTTCAGGTTTGGTCTAAGTTAAATTGGTTTTGAATATTTGAAAATTGTGACATTTTAAAATTGTTTGGTGGAAACATGGCTTTAATACCTCTAAATGCTCATTGCAAATAATGTGTGAGCGTATTCTGTGTATTTTGGCACAGACTGTGCTTTCCAAGCTTGTTTATTCAGTTGTAAAAAGTGCTGCTTGTGTGATTCTAACAATAAATAGTGATTATTTCTGTAAAGAGCATTCATTAACCATTTGATCATTATCATGGAGGTGAGTTGTGTTTTCTGTGTGGTATGGAATGAATTTTTAAATATTATTTTGAGGTGTTCCAGTTTTAAATGGTTAAATAATCGATGAACTCCGTGACAGGAGGGATAGACATAGTTACAGACTTACTGCAGAACTGCATTAGGCTAATGCTGGTCATTTTAATGTGCGTGTTGTACTTGCCCATGTTTATGCAGGAAATAATGTTGAATTTTTAATTAATTCTGTTTTCTTTATTGCAGTGAAAGAAGCTTTTATTTATTACTAAGTAGTTCTCCTTCAGACAGCAGCTTTGAGGATGATCTTGGCAATTTAGAGCTAGCTCCTGGTCCATCCAGCAGCCATGCGGTTGGGCCTCACTTACAGACGTAAGACAGCTATTCTTGAAATTACTTGCTTTCTTTTGTCCAGTCAGGGAAACAGTATGTAGTATTAGTAGATATTTATTCTGAATTATTCATGTGAAAGAGTTCTTTCTCCTGTGATCTGTAAGTTTTCATGCCATTTGGTAAACTCTGTCGAGTGAGGTTTTATCACATTTCACAGTTAAAACAAGTCCATAATTTTGAATTACATAGACTGTTACCCTGAAGAAAGGAACTGAAATTTATTTTTTTGTGTTTTTTGTCCAGTTCTTGCTCTAATAATAGGATGGATAATAATAAAAGTGAAAAGAAGTCTCTTGAAGGCAGTGAAAATCCGTGTGGCAAGTGGTTAGAGAAAAGGTAAGTAACTTCTTTAGCTGCATTTTCACAGAGGTAATTTAATATTTAAAAGTTTTCTAATAATTAATATGGCTTTTTTTAAAGTTCTTCTGTAATATTATAACTTGATCAACTGAAGCTAAGCTAATTGAAACCAAACCATGCTAGAATAAGCAGGCTGATGTAGGAATAAAATTCTACGCATGCCCTTATTACGTATCTGTTTACAGTGTTATTGAAGCCATTTTCTGGCCTGATTTTTGTTTG